TTTTTAGTAGAGACGGGGTTTCACCATGTTGGCCAGGATGGTCTCGATCTCTTGACCTCGTGATCCGCCTGCCTTGGCCTCCCAAAGTGCTGGGATTACAGGTGTGAGCCACCACGCCCGGCCTACTTTTATACATTTTTAATAATGAAGTTAAGAAAACAAAACGTACTCACAAAATTAAGTTTTGTGGAAAATACTATTGAAAATGACACCAACGTGAAGGCACTAAAAGGACACTGACACGTGTTCACTCACTCAGCAATATCTGAGAGCCCAGTGTGTGCCAGTCACTGTGCTTAAATGTTAATAGAAGCAGGCACATTACATGACTTACTTCGTCAGGAAATTCAAGCCCAGTAATTATAATAGCCGTAAAAGCAGCAATAAATAGAGATTGTATTTGCTGAGCCCATGCCACAGGCGAAGCAGATACTATAGGCTAAATGCTGTTCTAGGTTAGGGCCTCAAATGTTTTTTCTTACAGAGCCAATCCGTAAGTATGTTAGATTTTGCAGGTCATACACTTGCTGCTGTTACCTCTCAATTCTGCCATTAACAAATGCACAGGATAGTGGTTTCAATAAAACTTTATGTGCACACATCAGCAGGGGCTTGCTGACACCTGTTCTAGCTGCTTTCCATCTATTGGAAACCTCCTCTCCCCAAATTGGTGCTCTTATTACCATTTTATGATTAAGTACATTGAGGAAACGTTAAGGAGTCTGAATCATTTTATAACCAGGAAATGCCTGGTGTTTTTACTGAGGGCGAAGACAACTATTTGGCATGGTTACTGACGTAGTGAGGTAACATGAGATACTGTAAGCATGTACATACACTCACACACACACGCATCAGACCCCAGGAAAAACAAAAAGAAAAATGCTTCACAAAATACTCACGGTTATTAATCACAAGTCCTGGAAATGGTCTAAAGAGAGAAACAAATTGTAAAGTAGAACAATTTATTTCCACTCCACAGGAATCTACAGGTATAATTGTTTATTCAGCTCATACCCAGCCCATGTCACTTATGTACTACCACGAGAAATATTACCCACAACCTTGTAAACTTATGCAAGAGATAGATGTGTATGAATAATGAGAACATGGTTAGAAAATGTTTCACAATAAAATGGAGAAAAAACAAAAAACAGAAACGCAGAGCAGGGAACAGAGTGACTCAAACGCAAAGACGGAAGAGGCTTTTTGCTTAACTCCTGGGAATGACATGGACAGTGGCCATGGGCGAAGTGGAACAAAAATATGGGATTTTTAGGGAAGGAAGGATGGAAGATGAGTGAATGAGAAGAAGTCTCAAGAGGATGTATTATGAGATTTCTGAGTGCCAGTCCTAAGACATCTGAACTAGAGACAGTGGCAACTGGATGAACGGATTGGGCACGTGGAATCGTAGTAAGTTTCTGGGGCTGGAAGAGAACAGGGAAGAGAACCTGGGATTGGTGCTCAGGTGGGCATCTCTTATTGTGACAAGGACACGGGAAGGAATGTGGCTTTCACCATGCTTTTGGGGGTGGGTACAATCATCATGCCTGTTCATATGGACAGGAGCTGACACTCTCAATGGGGACAATGACCACCCTCATTTACAGACAACTAACAGAGTGACCTGGCTAACAAATGGCTGATGTGAGCTCGAATCTGCCTGACCCAAAGCCCGTGACAAGGTGCCCTACGACAGAGGTTGGCAAGGCTTTTCTGGTTTTGAGACAGAGTCTTGCTCCGTCACCCAGGCTAGAGTGCAGTGGCACAATCTTGGTTCACTGCAACCTTCGCCTCCCAAGTTCAAGAGATTCTCCTGCCTCAGCCTCCCGAGTAGCTGGGATTGCAGGCACCTGCCATCATGACCGGCTAATTATTGTATTTTTGTAGAGACAGGGTTTCACCATGTTGGCCAGGCTGGTCTTGAACTCCTGACCTCAGGTGATCCACCTGCCTCAGTCTCCCAAAGTGCTGGGATTACAGGCCAAGGTTTTTCTATAAAGTGCTAGAGAGTAAATATTTTAGACTCCGGAGGCCATGCTGTGTCAGTCCCAGCTACTTACTCTCTGTGACAGGAAAGCAGCATGAATAACGTGAATGTCGCCGAGTTTCAATCAGACTAAAAATAGGAGGCAGGCTGAACTTGGCAAACAGTTCTAGTTTGCCAACGCTTAGGTAGAAGAGCATCTACCATTCTAATAACAAAACAATTTCTCTTGCTTTGTTCATTGCACTGCATAGGAAGCCTGATTCAATGTCTACCTGTGACTGCATTTTAGATGACTCAGCCGCATGAGCTCCGGATTTGTTCCCGTGACTAAGCAGGAAACTCTCACTTACCTAATGACCGTGAATTTGATAAACTCGGCAGAATCTAAGATCCTTCTCATGGAGCTGATTTCCAGGTAGCTGGGGGCTTTGAAGGACACCCCAGGGGGCATACCATCAACCACCACACAGCCAGGGTTAATTGTGATTTTCCTGTAGGGAACTTTCACAGGAAAACCCATACCAATAGCTTCACCTATAGTGATAGTAAGACAAACAGCGTAACAGCAGACGTTAATCTATTACTTTAAAAAGTCTGTAAAAAGCACAAGATCAACATTTATTTTAAAGACTGTCTCTGTTGTTAACTAAGATCTTTGTACATTTCAAACAAATTTAAATATAAACCTGAATTTTTTGTTTGTTTGTTTGTTTGTTTTGGAAACAGAGTCTCACTCTGTCGCCCAGGCTGGAGTGCAGTGGCTTGATCTCAGGTTCAAGCAATTCTCCTGCCTCAGCCTCCTGAGTGGCTGGGATTACAGGCGTGCACTATCATACCCAGCTAATTTTTTGTACTTTTTGGTAGAGACGGCGTTTCACCATGTTGGCCAGGCTGGTCTTGAACTCCTGGCTTCAACTGATTCACCCGCCTCAGCCTCCCAAAGTTCTGGGATTACAAGCATGAGCCACACTGCCAGATGGTGAAGCTTAAATTCATTAACTTTCATACTGACCATCAATAGTATAACACTAATGGTATCTTATTAAATAAATTTAACACAAACGAAACATTCATTCATTCATTCATTCATTTTGAGATGCAGTGTCGCTCTTGTTGCCCAGACTGGAGTGCAAAGGCGCGATCTCGGCTCACTGCAACCTCTGCCTTCCGGGTTCAAGTGATTCTCCTGCCTCAGCCTCCCAAGTAGCTGGGATTACAGGAACCCTCCATCATGCCCGGCTAATTTTTGTTATTTTTAGAAGAGATGGGGTTTCTCCATGTTGGTCAGGATGGTCTCAAACTCCTGACCTTGTAATCCACCCGCCTCGGCCTCCCAAAGTGCTGGGATTACAGGTGTGAGCCACCGTACCCAGCCTAACACTTACTTTTACATTTTAATTCCTTTTAAATAGGAAGATTACAACCACCTAACCATTATATGCTGAAATGATCTTATTAAAACAAATCTCTTTGCTTATTGCAATTGTACTTTGCAAATGCAAAACTTACCAAATTTCCGACTGAAGAGGTCATTCACTTGTTCTCTTAGCTGTCTAGCTTTTTCAACTTTCGAGAGTCTTTCATTATCATCATCTAAAACAGTTCAGAGAAAACCTAAAACTTAAATACTGCTTTTTTTTTTCCTTTTTGGTAAAGAGATAGTATCTTGCTATGTTGCCCAGGCCAGCCTCTAACTCTTTGGGCTCAAGTGAACCTCCTGCCTTAGCCTCCCAAGTAGGTGGGACTACAGGTACAAGCCACTGCTCAGATGCACTTTTCATCCCAATTTTTAGGAGCTCTGTGTAATGTTTTTAAGCATTTTCCATCTTTTAATGATTTAAGTATTTGAGCATTTTGAACTAATTAAATTTGGAATTGTTTAAAATCATTCCTAACTAAAAATGCTACACATTTATTCTTGTTTTTATAAAGAGCTTTATCTGCTGTTTTAAATAGACTTTCCTTCCTTCCAGACAGAGTGTCACGCCATGTCCCCCATGCTAGAGTGCAGCAGCACCATCTGGGCTCACTGCGACCTCCGCCTCCCGGGTTCACGCATGTCTGCTGCCTCAGCCTCCCGAGTAGCTGGGATTACAGGTGCGTACCACCACACCTGGCTAATTTTTTTGTTTTTTAATTTTTTGAGATGGAGTCTTGCTCTGTCACCAAGGCTGGAGTACAGTGGTGTGATCTTGGCTCATTGTAACCTCCGCCTCCTGAGTTTAAGCAATTCTCCTGCCTCAGTCTCCCAAGTAGCTGGGATTTTAGGTGTGCGTCACCACGCCCAGCTAATTTTTCTATTTTTAGTAGAGACAGGCTTTCACCATCTTGGCCAGGCTGGTCTTGAACTCCTGATCTTGTGATCCACCTGCCTTGGCCTCCCAAAGTGCTGGGATTACAGGGGTGAGCCACCGCGCCCAGCCATTTTTTTTGTATTTTTAGAAGAGACAGGGTTTCACCATGTTGGCCAGGCTGGTTTTGAACTCCTGACCTCAAGTGATCCTCCCGCCTCAGCCTCCCAAAGTGCTAGGATTACAGGCGTGAGCCACCGTGCCCGGCCTTATATAGACTGTTTTAAGGAACAGACAGACCTTTGGGTGGTTAACGGGTTCTAGCTCATGCCAAGTGCCAGAACTTGCTGGCGCTGTTTGGAGATCAACAGTTTTGCGAAGGCAGCTGGCGCAGGGGTCTCGGAGGGCACCGGGCAATGTGCAACAGGTCCCAGTCCCTGAATGAGCTGAGCAAACTGCCCTGGCCGGTAAAGTCCAAGAGACCCCAGAGAGACCCCCAGAAACTATGACAGAAGCAGAGAAATCATACCTGGAATTGTCACCTGAATGATGTTAAGGTCTTCAACACCCGATGCGGTAGTATTAACATTGGGTGATGAATTTATTTTTCCTGAAAATACGAATTTAAAATCAGAATTTACAGAAAACAAGGTCAACATCTCTCATACAGGCTGAGACTGTTTTATCTCAGTCCTGCTCATGGTTCTTTCTTTCCGTGGTACATCATTTCAAGAAGACATTCTCCTCCCTGAAAGGCCGCTTTTCGCTATTTTTCTCTTCCTGGTGGTGCTTAGGAGAACATCACACACACAGAGGCAATCAATTACTGAAGAACTAAAAACTAAAATAGCCCAAACTACACCTGTGAATGGGTTTTCCTTCCCTCTTTTCTCCCTGAGATGGAGTCTTGCTCTGTTGCCCAGGCTGGAATACAGTAGTGAGATCTCTGCTCACTGCAACCTCCACCTCCTGGGTACAAGTGATTTTCCTGCCTCAGCCTCCTAAGCAGCTGGGATTGTAGGCACCCGCCACCACGCCCAGCTAATCTTTTATAATTTTAGTAGAGACAGGGTTGGCCAGGCTGGTCTCAAACTCCTGACCTCATGTAATCCACCGCGCCCAGCCTCAATGGCTATGCTTTAAACAGCTTTTGTAAACCACGGCTACACAACACAAGCCTAAGAGCATTCTACAGCTGCGAAAATGCAGAAAAGACACTCACTGGGAGGACTCTTAGAGGAGGTGCTCTCCTTAATTGCCGTCTCAAACATTTCGGGCCTACAGACAAAAGAGAAAAAAAACCAGTGAAACTCTGACATTAAAATGTAAACGAGTTGAAGATTTACAAACCGGTAACTGTCAAGTCTAAATTCAATTCTTAGTAATGAGGAACAGAAATCCCATAGCCAAAAAGACAAACTACAACTGTAACTTTAACAACCATCGCTGCCTCTCTTTGGCTCCCCTTCCCCCATGGTGGTTTCATGGACATCTTCTTCCCCAGGTTAGAATGTATCCTGAAAAGAATCAGCGCTAGACTTGAGGATGGAAACAGAAATCACCCCACGTGTGCAGCAAGGAAACAGAAGATGGGCTGCGAAAACAGGAGCCCTTGAGCCTCTCACTGTGAGCAGAAGTAGAGGGCACAGAGGCTGCCAAACCTCTGCAGACCTGACGGAAAGTATAGCAGGTGGCCACTATGCTCGGCAAGGCCGGCTTTGCTTGAAAGCATCCCTGGGTGACTCAAAATTAAGCCTAACACCAAGTCCATGAAACCTAAAATTCATTTCAACTGATTCATGTGCATTAGTATATACTTTAAAATTTTAATTCTTTTTTTTTTTTTTTGAGACAGATTCTCACTCTGTCACCCAGGCTGCAGTGCAGAGGCACGATCTTGGCTCACTGCAACCTCTGCCTCCTGGGTTCAAGTGATTCTCCTGACACAGCCTCCCAAGTAGCTGGGATTACAGGCGCCTGCTACCGTGCCTGGCTAATTTTTTTTTATTTTTTATTTTTGTATTTTTAGTAGAGATGGGGTTTCACCATGTCAGCCAGGCTGATCTTGAACTCCTGACTTCAAGTTATCTGCCTGCCTTGGCCTCCCAAAGTGCTGGAATTTATGGCTGCAACAGGCCCATTAGTATTTATTTTAATTATGTTAGCCTAATCCATACATGTTCAAGCAAGCAGGAGAAATTAAAAATATTCTATTAAGTTGGAGAAATAAAAGGACTTTAGAAAACAGAACAGTGGCTCAGATTCTAGCAGCATCAAGCCGTAACAACATGGCTGTGTACATCTGGCAACCAAAAGTCATTATCTCTGTGGTAGGCTGGAGTCCTCCTGCCCTTCTACCAGCAGCAGACGGAAAATTTCCTTTCCTTTTCTTTTTTTTTTTTTTTTTGAGATGGAGTTTTGCTCTTGCTGCCCAGGCTGGGGTGCAGTGACGCCATCTCAGCTCATTGCAACCTCTGCCTTCCAGGTTCAAGCCTCCACCTCCCAGATTCAAGTGATCCTCCTGCCTCAGCCTCCCGAGTAGCTGTGATTACAGGCACGCGCCACCACTCCGGCAAATTTTTGTGTTTTTAGTAAAGACGGGTTTTGTCATGTTGGCCAGAATGGTCTCAAACTCCTGACCGCAGGTGATCTGCCTGCCTCTGCCTCCCAAAGTGCTGGGATTATAGGTGTGAGCCACTGCGCCTGGCCAGAAAATTGTAAACATATACAAGAGTGCCGCTTAAAAAAGAGCTTTTCTGACTAATTCAGCCCTGCCACAAACACGGACCCATCTCCCAGTGTCAAACACGACCCACTCACGCTAACCCCACTCCATCCGATTCGCTTACTTTTTAATGATGAACTTAATTTTGGCTTTATTTCTGAGTATCTTCTCCAGCCTTGGAATGCCAAAAGTAGAGGGTCTTCGGAACGGGACACCCTCAGGTAAGCCTTCCACGTAAAAGTCTTCTGGGAAAGACTCAAACAACGCGAATGGCACCTTCACAGCTTGCTTAAGGCCAAGAGCTTCCCCTGCAAAATAGCCGCGTACACAGAACAAAACATGGGAGTAACGACGCCATTCAAGCCCGAAAAACCCACACACCACCAAGCACAGGGACACCCCAACGTCCAGGACCTCATTCAGCTCCCTTCTACTCCATGAAGGCACCCCCGCACTTCAGTAAGGATGTTTCAAAACAGACTTACCGCACTTCTCATTGAAGAGATTTTCAACTTTCTGTTTTAGGTCCGTGATTTTGGCATTCCAGGCCTCTGCATATAGAATATAAGATAGCTAAATTGCAATATGTATCACAGTACTTATCAGCATACATTCACAGGCAGGAATGTTACATCTTCTTTGTGCATCTTTAGGAAGAAATAAGGCGGGTACGGTGGCTCACGCTGGTAATCCCAGCACTCTGGGAGGTGGGCGGATTGCCTGAGGTTAGGAGTTCGAGACCATCCTGACCGACATGGTAAAACCTCATTTCTACTAAAAATACAAAAAAAATTAGCCAGGTGTAGTGGCATGTGCCTGTAATCCCAGCTACTCAGGAGGCTGAGGTAGGGGAATTACTTGAACCAGGAAGGTGAAAGTTGCAGTGAGCCGAGATTACGCCACTGCACTCCAGCCTGGGTGCCAAGAGTGAGATTCCATCTCAAAAAAAAAAAAAGAAAAAAAAAAAGAAAAAAAAAATGCATAATCCTTCACAGCTGTAATCCCAGCATTTTGGGAGGCCGAGGCGGGCGGATCACGAGGTCAAGAGATGGAGACCATCCTGGCCACGGTGGTGAAACCCCATCTCTACCAAAAAATATAAAAATTAGCTGGGCATGGTGGTGGGCGCCTGCAGTTCCAGCCACTGGGGAGGCTGAGGCAGGAGAATTGCTTGAACCCGGGAGGGAGAGGTTGCAGTGAGCCGAGATTGTGCCACTGCACTGCAGGCAGGTCTCAAAAAAAAAAGAATAAGAATAATCTTTTACCACTATATGACTTGACAATTACTCCTACCCTGATACATACGCAAACTCTTTTCGTACATTACTTTTATGTCAGCTACAAGTAAGTGAACAAATGCTAAAATAAAGCAAAAACCAAATGAAAATCCCCAAAAAGTCCCCGCAAATTATAGTGTCTACTACATGGGAGGTATGGTTCTTAGTATGTTAAATGACAGTATTTATGACCTCATAATAACCTCATGAGAAAGAAAGAAGTAATGTTATCCCCATTTTGCATGAAGGGAAACTGAGGCAGGGAGCATTCACCTGCCCAAGTGGCATCAGATCTGAACAAAGATCTGAACTCAGGCAGTCTGGTTCTACAGTGCACTCCTTTAACCTTTGATGTATGCCAACTCACGAATGAGAACCATTCACCTGGTAAAATAAAACGTGATTAACTCCTATTTAAAACGATTGAACGAAGAAAAATAAAACGCAAACTTACCAAAGGAAAACTCTCTCCCTCGCGGCTTGAAGGGTACGTTAGAACCGTTAGTCTGGGTAGGGGTTCGAACAGCTGAGGTTTGAGGATTGTTGTTATTAGGGCCTAAAGGAGTGAAAATAGTGATGATCAACGCACACTGAATGACACAGGTGTCTCTAGGCTACCATCTTCAAGTCTAGCCTGTGCCAGAAAACAAAGCTCGGTTCAAATGGAAATGAGCCTTCCCGTCGTTCCCGCGGGTGCCACAGAAACCCATTTTTCTACTTCCGCCCCTGCAGCCTGGTACTTCCGCCCCTCAGCCTGGTACTTCCGCCCCTCAGCCTGCTACTTCCGCCCCTGCAGCCCGGTACTGCCGCCCCTGCAGCCCGGTACTGCCACCCCTGCAGCCTGGTACTTCCGCAGAAATAATGCTCAAGGCCGGGTGAGGTGGCTCATGCCTATAATTCCAGCACTTTGGGAGGCTGAGGCGGATGGATCACCTGAGGTCAGGAGTTCGAGACCAGCCTGGCCAATATGGCAAAACCCCATCTCTACTAAAAATACAAAAATTAGCCAGGCACGGTGGTGCACGCCTGTAGTCTCAGCTACTTGGGAGGCTAAGGCAGGAGAATCACTAGAACCCGGGAGGTGGAGGTTGCAGTGAGCTGAGATTGTGCCACTGCATTCCAGCCTGGGTGATAGAGTGAGACTGTGTCTCAAAAGAAAAAAACAAATAATGCTCAAATTTGTCAGCTCTTTTCCACTACAGGAAAATGAGTGCTAGCTCTATTTACCCATATAAACTCCAGACCTTGCCTTTCTTATTTAGGGACATCTAATAAACAATCAAAGTAACCTATTTTTCAACACATGAATGAAAGAGTCGAGATAATATAAAAATAAAGTTGTTTCATCTGAATTCTTTAAGTTATAAAACACTCTTAGGATACATCTCGAAACTCCAGATTCCTTCATTTGCAGACACGTTTGTATGGGCTCTGGGCTTTCACCTCAATTACCTTTGAAGTGAGTTATTCACTCTGGATGTCTATCTTTGCATAACGACTTTTGCTTGATAAACAAATTTTGAGAAATACTATCAATAGCTAAGAGTGCATACTGGAGGCCGGGCATGGTGGCTCACGCCTGTAATCCCAGCAGTTTGGGAGGCTGAGGCAGGCGGATCACAAGGTCAGGAGTTCAAGACCAGCCTGGCCAGTGTGGTGAAACCCCGTCTCTACTAAAAATACAAAAATTAGCTGGGCGTGGTGACACCTGCCTGTGATTTCAGCTCCTCGGGAAGATGAAGCAGGAGAACTGCTTGAACCAGGACCCGGGAGGCAGAGGTTGCAGTGAGCTGGGGTTGCACCCCTGCACTCCAGCCTGGGCTAGAAAATGATACTCCGTCTCAAAAAAAAAAAAAAAAAAAAAAAAAAAAAAAGTGGATACTGGTCACCATACCAAGAGTGCCCTGTGAGCTAACCAATTCATTCTTCACAGGCACTATTACTGTCTCTGCTTCAGTTGTGGAATGCAGAACCACAGGGGCTGCATAACCTGGTGAGCGGTGGTGCTGGGCACCAACCTTCCGAGTCTGTCTCCTCAGTGCCCTCACCCCGACACGCGGTGGACGGGAGCTTCACGAATCATTTCACAGATCTGAGCAAGAGATGGCAGGCAAGCAGCACGCCATCGCCTATACAGCGTTCCGACCCAACTTTCCAGTCATTAATGATGTCAGAACTCCTGAATAAGGACTGCCGCTTCCTCAGAAGCTGGTAACAAAAGCAAGGGGTGCTGGACCAGCTGGCTCTAGCACCTGGGTTACCTGGCGGGTGCATCCACACAGAGGAAATCAGAACATTCCAGAACCACAGTTTTCTACCAGGCCAACATCCCTACTTATTATACTGTAAGCTCATGAAGCAACCTTTTACAAACAAGCGGGCAAGACGACACAAGAGCAGATGACACACTGAGCTGGCGGAATGCTCTTGTTCTTACACTAAATGAATCACTGGCATTCTGGGTTTACTTAAGTGAAGTCACACTCTACACCCACGAGCCTGACTACATTAAAAAGTTAACACCAGGCCGGGCGTGGTGGCTCACACCTGTAATCCCAGCACTTTGAGAAGCTGAGGAGGGTGAATCACGAGGTCAGGAGTTGGAGACCACTCTGGCTAACATAGTGAAACCCTATCTCTACTAAAATTACAAAAAATTAGCCAGGCGTGGTGGCGCACACCTATAGTCCCAGCTACTCAGGAGGCTGAGGCAGGAGAATCATGTGAACCCAGGAGGCAGAGGTTGCAGTGAGCCGAGATCGCACCATTGCACTCCAGCCTGGCTGACAGTGCGAGACTCTGATTCAAAAAAAAATAATGATCGTAATATAATTATTTCCTTCTGCATTTATGAAGAGATGGAAGAAGTATCCATACTTGACAGCTGGTTGGGGGTTGTCTTTGGTACTACATGCAGTATTTTAACACTGTGAGACTGAAAAGATGAGAACCAGCTGGGCACGATGGCTCACTTGAGGTCAGTAGTTCGAGACCAGCCTGGACAACATGGTGAAACCCCGTCTCTACTAAAGATATAAAAATTAGCCTGGCGAGATGGCAGGCACCTGTAGTCCCAGCTACTTGGGAGGCTGAGGCAGGAGAATCGCTTGAACCAAGGAGGTGGAGGCTGTGGTGAGCCGAGGTCGCACCACTGCACTCAGCCTGGGCACAAGAGCAAGACTTCATCTCAGAAAAAAAAAAAAAAGAGAAAATACTTTCATTCAAGGCACTGCTAAACTTTCTTTCCTTAAAAGAACAGAAACAAAATGAAGAGGAATAAAAAGACATTCCACGTCACTCTGCACCCTTACTTGTTACGATAAAGAAACAGCATTTTAGGGCTTTTCTTGGGAGGAGTTTATGAAGTGATCCATGTTATCTGTTTTCTGTTACTGGTTTAAAAATTTTCAATTAGAGGCTGGGCGTGGTGGCTTAAGCCTGTAATCCCAGCACTTTGGGAGGCCGAGGCGGGTGGATCACAAGGTCAAGAGATCAAGACCATCCTGGTCAACAAGGTGAAACCCTATCTCTACTAAAAATACAAAAATTAGCTGGGCATGGTGGTGCACGCTGTAGTCCTAGCTACTCGGGAGGCTGAGGCAGGAGAATTGCTTGAACCCAGGAGGCAGAGGTTGCAGTGAGCCGAGATCGCGCCATTGCACTCCAGCCTGGGTAACAAGAGCGAAACTCCGTCTTAAAAAAAAAAAAATTTTTTTTTCAATTAGAAACATTCAGAAATGTAGCTTTATCACAGACAGTTGTTCACATGTAAAACTAGTTTTATTAACTTCATCTGTATAAACATATAGCTAGTGAACTGACCTAACTAGTAGACTGGAGAATCTACAGAATCACTGGCCCTTACCTTCCACAGTGACCTCAATTTCAGGAACCTTGGAATTACTCCCAGGACTTCGTGGTCTTTTTGGGGACTGCAAAGCTGTAAAAGAAGCCAGAACTACTTTAGTATATTTTAGGGGAAAAAAAATAACAGAAGGAGATGCTTTATAAGAGCAGAGTATTAAAATTCATACAGTTTGGCTCTTTTCAAAGAAACCTGCAGAATTAAACTTGTAGTGCAATCCTCCACAGGGGCTCAACAAAGCTGTGAAAACATGAATGAAGGAGGATTGCAAATGTGACATTTCCAGTGAAATG